CGATTCTGGGTCTTCAGAGATACGGCAGGGGTTACATCGCACGGAGAAAGGCAGAGGCAATGAGGAGGGAGAGAGCGGCAGTGAAGATCCAGGCGCGTGTCAAGGGCTGGCTGCAGAGGCGATGGTACTTGCAGGTGAAACGGACGATTCTTGGTCTGCAGACGCGCGGCAGGGGCAACATGGCTCGCGCCAGGTTCAGGCTGATGAAGGACAACGCCGCCGCGACGGTGATCCAGAGATTCGCTCGTGGATATCTCGTAAGGATGGCGTGCAAGAGAAGACTCAGGGACATAATAACCGTGCAGTCGTGTATCAGGAAGCGCCAGGCGAAGAAGGTCTTCAGACGACTGAAGGCCGAAGCCAGGAGTGTGGAGCACGTCAAGTCGCTCAACAAAGGCCTGGAGATGAAGATCATCACGTTGCAACAGAAGATAAACGAGATGGTGAGTGACGTCTTATTTGATCTAAGCTTAAATCTCTCTTTGCGTCGTATCGCTCGGTTCCGAGCGTCGTAACCCCTTCTACATATATCTGTACAAGACCTACAAATTTTATATGCTTTATTATTGTTTTCAATAATATATAGAAACGTACGAATTTGTTCTTTTTTAGGCGAAAGGCAGCCAACTCTTGAAGAACGTTCAAAACGAGATGATAGATTTGAAGTGCAAGCTAGAAAGCCTGAAATCCGTCGACGCTGAGAATAAGAAATTAAACGGAGTGGTGCAAGACAAAGAGAGGGAGTTGAAAAAGATGGAGGAAACTCTACAGCGGGAGAAGGACGAGAAGATGGATATATTGCACGATAAAGAAAGAAGTGCTCTGCAGAAGGACGCGGAGAATAGGAAGCTGCAGGAGGAGAATGAAAGATTACGGAAAGAACTCTCGATAGCAACCGAGAAATTGAAGAGCAACCAGCGCGGTGCTGAGGAGAATCTAAAGTATCGACTCGAGCAGGAGAAAGATCTGCTCATGCTGGAACAGGACCAGGACCGCGGAGCTTATCAGAGACTGCTCAAGGATTACCACGAACTGGAACAGCACGCGGAAATGGTGGAGCAAAAGTTGCTGTTACAAGGAGTGCTCGGGCACTCGCGCTCCTTGAGCAATGCTTCCAGCGGCAGTGGTCAAATCACGTCGACGGAAAATCCACAAGATGATCAAAACGCCGTAAGTCGTGTATGAAAGGAATTTTAATACGCACAATTAAGAAACTAAAGCTTTGAACGCTTTTCGTAAAATATGACAATCGTCTCTAGCTATACATATATTGCTTCTCTAGAGTTCAAGTTTTCACTTTTTGTCATAAATACTGTTAAACTGAGTTTACTGAAGTTGCAACGCGCCCCGATTTATTTTTGTAGGATTTTGGGTACGGCTCAGTGAGATCCACAGGCTCCTCGTCGACGCCCTACTCGCGAGTGGAAACGATCGACTGGAATCAACAGCGGTCGGATAGTCCACCCGATGGAGAAGTTCAACCGAACAAATCGGAGGCACCTGCGCCCGCACACGCGCCCGTGGATATCGGTCTTGTCCTGAAGCTGCAACAAAAGCTGAGGGACGTCGAGAAAGAGAAAGGCAGACTGATCAGAAGAGTCGAGGATCTGGAACGCGATAGTAGTGAGGACTCAACCAGGACGCAAGATTCGTTTAAAGTAAGTTAAGAGAAAGTTGTACAGAATAGTGAATTTTGTGTATTAAATTCTCACTTCCGATGAGTTCTTTCTACGCCGAGTCCTATTCTAACACCTGTCAGTCTTCAACGAACTCAATGTCACAAATGAACCGGCATTAAAAGATTATCGCGATAAATCCACTTCATTGTGCTCCGTCACTTGTCTTATCTCTATTATCACTGATTAACCGTGACAATGCCTGCTTGCAGCTCCAAGAACTAGAAATGGAGAACGCGCAACTTAAAAAAGACTTGAACTCGCTGAGGAAGACTGTATCGTCGGCCAGCCCATCGTCCGCGCAGCAAAATCTCATGAGTAATTTGATATTACAACTCATTAACGATTTTCTACATTACCTCTTTCACTGAGCACATATATTTACACCGACTTTAATATGTAGCTGAGCTGATTGACTTTGTGCCTTCAAACGTTCAACAAGCAAAGCGTGATATACATAAACTCATATGTATCTATAACTTTTGCTTTCTGCTTTTCATTCTGTACTAGATTTCTGTCTTCTTTTACCTCTTGTTCTGTAAATGCTGTCTTTTCATTCTCCGTGTCTAATATTAATTTCAGCATAATATTTGCGACCAATATTTCTGTAAGTACATTTTGCATTCTCCATCTTCGCACTGCTTACGAAGTTGTCGCTTCGTTCATTAGTAAGATTTCACCCCTATTTTTCTTTTAAACGCCAAAGATATTTCGAGTATCTGAGAATAATAAATTTTGCAAAAGTTTAAGCAATATTATACATTTAAAGTACAAATTATCTTGAAAAAGCTTTGCAAAATGCTTGTCGCGAGTGTATAGCTCTATGTTTATAATTAAAAATGCTACATATAAAATTGCAAGATCACCAATAACTGTCTGAAAAAAAAATAACACGGTATAAAAGACACAAAATAATATTGACACAATGATATTGTAGTGCAATTCGAGGCGCTACAAGAGGAACTGGAGAGGAGAAGAGAAGAGTGTATTCAGCTGCATAGCGTGCTGGCCGATCACACACGTAGAATGAAGAACTTGGGTGCCAATTATGGTCGCGACGTGGACATCATAAATGAAGATGGCGAGCTGGTACTCGCCTTCGAGGCACAGAAGAAGATTAACAGGTAACGCGAAACGCTTAGTTGTCGAGCTGACTATTGACTAAGTGCCACGTCTAACAACAGTCTTTTGTCGTTTGTGCATGCACTTCGATTTTCAGTAAGCTTAAGACAAAGGCACCGAGAGGAGAGTGAGTTGAGCAGATTCACAAGCAGATTCGCCCGTTCGAACGTTATTGAACTGTTCAATCGGAAGAAAAAGTGATTTTACAATTTCACAGCATCGTCTTTCAAGACGTGCTTCAGCCTGTCAGACCAGTTTGTTTTGACATCAGCAAAATTAATATTGTTGACTGCGAGCCATGCTAAATTTCCTTCATTCGTTTTGCTCATTATTTCTCAGACTACATTTCGACAATTATTTTCTAACGGTATTAACAATAGGCATGATTTCATATGTTTAGCATGATTCCGATCGAACGATTAATTTGCGATTGAACAATTCAAGAGATTTCTCGCAATAATACACAAAAAATGAGAAACTTGGACCCTTTGTTTTTTAAGGCAATTGGAGGATGAGCTGCAAGCGAAGGAAAGGAGCTGGCGAGCGCAAAGAGACGAGTGGCGAAACGAGATAGACAGACTGCAAGAAGAAATCGAGAAGCAGCAAAAGCTGCTCTCCATCAACTTAAGCAAATCGCCGCAAACCCAAGCGGAGCTTTACATGCAGTACGAGGTTGCCAGATTGGCGTCCGAAAATCTTGTAAGTAAAATTAATTCTTTTTATCAACAATACAAAGTTCATTAACAATCCCAGATGATTTTGTCGCGTTGCTTTCAAACCTGGACAGGATGTTTTTGGCGTAATAAAGTCTACTATCTCTCACTTATATGAACACGAACATTTATACATTTATATTTGATGCCCTTCTGTAAAGGAACTTCAAGAAAAATACGATAAATTAGCGGATGAGTGCAGACGCTTCAAGAAACAATGCAAAATCCTGGCGAAACAACTCATGGATGCTGGCTGTAAGTGCAATAATTATATGTTTATTGTGAGAAATATTTAGAGTTTCCATTGCCGTGTAATTGGAATTGCGTTGAATATCATAAATTACCTTATCTTCGTGTGTCGTGTGCAATAAAGGTATTAATAATAATAATTAATAATCTTCTAATGCTATCAAAGACGAATGCGAGGAACGCTTTTCTTATGTAAATGCCGGTGAGTGCGTGGTCTTGAGATGTTAACATAATCATCATCTCATTGAATTGTCCGAATAATTTGTAAGACAGTAAGATTTTCGGTAGATCAAATGAAGAAATAGAAATCCTGGCTGAGGTATTTAAATTAATTTAAAATATGAAATATTTAGACATTGAACACTCTGTCACGGTTCTTAGTCCTTTATTTCTTCAAACTTGTGTTTATCACATTTGAGCCATGTGAATTTTATGAAGAAATAGAAGCTAAGTTAAAAATACAAGTTTTGATGAAACTTAACGAGAATTACATACAAACTGTTCAGTCAGTTCGATCACGCATACCATCATTCATTGTCGCCTGCATATTGTGTCGAGTACGGTTTCCTGAAAATTTCGAGGAATACAAGAATTAATGGAAAAATTTCAACTACTTGCAGTACCCAACGCGGTGGAATACGCGAATGGCTGCGTCGCTCTTTCCGGGACTCATGGAGACGGAAGTAACATGCCTATCATTCGCAAAAAGGAGAGGGATTACGAAGGAATGTTCGAATTCAAGAAGGAGGATATCAACGTCATCATACGCCACATGGTCATCGGTAAGTGTCGCCTCTCGTATCGATCAACCTGTTGACAATTATTCATCAATTCTAAACACTTTCTAACTTGTAAAATTCATTCCGCGAGGGATACAATTAAAATTTCTATTATTCGACTTTCGTTATATCTTTCTACTGCCAGTATACGCATACGACCTAGTTTATCCGATATTTCTGCTTTTTTTTAGAGCTGAAGCCCCGAATAGCGGTGACGCTATTACCAGGCTTACCGGCCTACATCCTCTTCATGTGCATCAGACATACCGATTGCATCAACGATGACGAGAAGGTACGGTCGCTGTTGACCGAGTACCTGAATGCCGTTAAACGCGTGCTGAAGAAACGCGACGACTTCGACTCCAGAGTGCTTTGGCTCAGCAACACCCTGCGCTTGTTGCACAACATGAAACAATACTCCGGCGACAAGCCGTTCCAGATCGAGAACACGCCCAGGCAGAACGAGCAGTGCCTGAGGAACTTCGACCTGAGCGAATACCGTGTTGTACTGAGTAACGTGGCTCTCTGGATCTTCAACAATCTCATCACGAATCTCAAGGAGAGGATTCAAGCCCTCACAGTACCAGCCTTGCTGGAGCACGAGGCGATATCCGTTCCGACCGACAAGGCCGGGCGACCCAGGTCGTCGTCCATGGGCGGTGAGCCGGATTCCACGCAGCAGAAGCTGGACAAGCTTCTGGGCGAGCTAACATCGGTACACAAGACCCTGCAATATCATGGCGTGGATCCCGAGGTTGTGGTCCAGCTGTTTAAGCAACTGTTTTACTTCATGTGCGCCAGCGCACTGAACAACCTGCTGCTGAGGAGCGAGCTCTGCCGATGGACCAAGGGTATGCAGATAAGGTAAGAAATCGCGGTGTTAATACTCGATTTTGTTGTTACTTACTAACAATATATCCGTACAATTACTTTATAGAAAATATAAAAGAGAAATGATGGAAAAACTTTTACCTCCTTCTTCAATTTCTAATCTTCATTTCTAAATCAGGGCTCGATCTTTATTTATTTGTGTAATAACATTGAATATTTAAACTTTGTAGAAATTATACAGTGTTCCGTCTGCTATTTAAGGTATAACATGAGCCATTTGGAGCAGTGGGGCAGGGACCGACGGCTAGAAACCGCGTCGGAAGCGCTGCAGCCCATCATACAGGCGTCGCAGCTTCTGCAAGCACGGAAGACGGACGAGGACGTTAATTCTGTCTGCGAGATGTGCAATAAACTGACGGCCAATCAAATAGTGAAAATTCTAAATCTGTACACGCCCGTCGACGATTACGAGAGTCGAGTTCCGGTTTCGTTTATCAAGAAAGTACAAGACAAGCTGAAGGAGCGCGGCGAGAACAACGAACAAGTAAGTCCCTTCCAGTCGATTAGGAATCAATTCTTCGACAAAATGAGCGTCTCAAAGACACTCGTTAAGATTTGCTTTATAACAACGTTCCTTTTCTTCTACTTTCAGCTGCTAATGGATCTAAAGTATTCCTATCCCGTAAGATTCTCATTCAATCCGTCAGATATTCGACTTGAAGATATCGAGGTACCGGAGGTGCTTCAATTGCCGATGCTCAAGAAGGTGTAACGCAGACCAGGCACGATCCTGGTCAAGATCCCCGCTCCACTGTACTGTACTGTGTGTCTTTAGTTGAGAACGTTGTACGCGAATAACCGAAACACGCTTAGTCCATTTGTTCGTACAGGAAGTTAGTGATACCGGTAATCCGGCTACGTTTAGACGTAGACGCATCGAGAGCGGCCCATCGATATCACGTTTTATATGTTTCTTTTTTACTCGGGTAATTTGTAGATTTTACGATATGTCGTATTCCTAATCGCTAATTCGAAGTCAATTTCCGTTGCGTAGGTAGACGATCAGGTCTCGGTAAGCGAGAGAAAGAGCGATATTTTCGATTATTGTTACTGTATAGCGTTGTACGTCGAGTTGTGAAGGAGGCACGAGTACGAAGCTCCTACAAGGATACTTTTAATTTACAACTCTTTTATTACTACATATTATTTATGTTAAAGATGATTAATAGTCTCAGAGACACAGATCTCGTGTGAATCCGTTCTTCCTTCAAGTGTGTACAAGGACATGTGTGTCTCGCGTTCGTGTCTTTTTCAAATAGGAATAATGAATTTCTAAAAATATAATGTTAATTTAATTCTGAATTTACGTACGCGTAACAAAACATTTCCACTGGGAAAACAGTCTAATGAACGAATATGGGAATTTTGACGATAATGATTGTGCGTGAATACAATGTCTAATTTATTTATGTACAGTGAATTCTTTTTGTAAGTACCGTATGAATACTCGATCCTTGTGAGAATTTCGTACGCACGATAAAGTTGAAAACTTGTTGAAGATTGTAATTAATGTAAAAAGGAAACGCGCGCGCGCGAGAGGAAAGATATAACGTCATGTTGGAAATAGAATGTATATTTTGTGATACGAAAGAAAAAGAGAGAGAATTGTTATAAAATTGGGTCCGATGACGGACTGATATACGAATGAGAAAAAAAGAGATACGAAGGCGACCGAAAGGAACAGGGGTATATAATTGTTGTATTCTAATTTATATATATATGTACATGCAATTGCATTTTGTGCCATTTTACGAGTAGATCGTAATATTCGTTTGTTGTTTCGTTCAGTCTGCCATTGGTTCCGTGCATTACAAACACATTCCACAGAAAAGATGTCTGAAAAACAAAAAGAGAGAAAATATCCCTTCCCCCAAGATGTTATAGACAGAATATATTTACACAATAACACCTTGACTCGATGTGACATATTTATTTGTTCCTACGATGAAAATAAAGTCGAGGTGCTGAGTAGCTTAGTGGTAATCACCTTTCGCTCCGAAAGACCTGGGTACAAATCCCGGTCCTGTCACCTCACGTAATAGAATAAAGGAATTCTGAGATTCCACTGTGATAGAAACGAGTATCTAAACAATTAGTATAAACAAGCCCAGAGTAACTTGTAGGCAACAGCACTGATTTAAAAAATCGGGAATAATTGAAGAGATTAAAGTCGACAGAGTCCTTACCTCATTTCTAATGTTTCTTGTACAAAAACTCACGCAGAACAGTGTTATTAATTCATAATTGCAATAACTGCATTCTCTACTGCGACGAGGAATCTTAATGTTCTTCGAAAGAGCGTAGGAAATTAGGAGTACGAGTACGGAAAAATTCACAACACAAGTGCCTGTGAATCAGGTATCGCTTAGTGACTGTATTGCCAAATTGGTATACAGAGATGATATTGTATCATTGAAAATGATTCCCATCATCTTTATAATTTACATATAAAATGTAATATTGTATAAATTATAAAGGAGATGTGAAATAATTTCCAGTTACAATTATCCAATTTATTACATATTATATAAATCATAGAACGTGATGTGAAACAATTTTCAACGAAGCCATTGCTACAAAATGTAAAACGAAATGCAGCACATAGAACGATACCAAGTAGAATAAAGTATTTAAGATAATAAAACGTAATTAAATAAACTTAGATTTTAGTTTTCGCCGGTGTCGCTTGGCGAGCGTACATCGTCAATTTTCAGTATCATCTTGACGAGTTGCGTGGCCAACAAGATCTGTTGAATCTTACTTGTCAGCGTCTCAATGACGTTCTGTTTCTTCATATCTGTCACAAATAGCTCGTGATGATTTCGCGATTAATATGTAAAATAGTAAAAAAGTAAAGAACGATACGTACTTGCTGTGCCTCGGTTCAAGCAGTCGATACCAAGAGCGGGATTCTTCTCGGCCAACTGACGAGCTTTAATTTCCGCTATGGTGTTTACCGAGGACAGGCCTGAATTCTCAGCGAGCGCCATGGGAACGCTCTCCAAAGCTTCAGCGAAGGCACGGAAGGCGTATTGTTCCAAAGTGCTGATTTTATCAGCCTGTGCCATGCAAGCCAGCGCACAAGATATTTCCGCAGCGCCTCCACCGTAAAGAATCCTGTTGTCTTTCACTACGTTGCGTACGGTGCACAATGCATCATGTATCGACCGTTTCGCCTCTTCAATGATCTATAAACACAAAGAACAATTACAAATTCCAAGAATTATTCATGTAGCACAAGTGAGTGTCGCATCGCAAAAGAAATAAGTTCAATCAACAAAGTTATTGAACAGTTCATATAATTGCAATGCGCTATTATTGCAAGGTGTCTGGTCAGTTATGCACACGGAAAGTACTACTGAAATTCTCCTTGCGTGGAAGTTATTTTTATCAATAGCTGCCGTGGCATACCATTTTGTTGCCGCCGCGAATAAAGATCGTCACAGCGCGCGAGTTTTTGCACTCCTCGATGACCAGCATTCGATCCTTTGTCGTGCCAAACGTCAATTCCCTGACGACACCGGCGTGGCCGAGTTTCTCCGGCTTCAATTCCTCGAAGCGGGGTACGATGCGTCCACCGGTCGCAATGGCAATGAGCTGACAAAAAGATTTGATTCCTTCATGTGTATTTCATATACAAAGCGCATGATACGACCAAAAGATCGCAATTAGTTCAGATCTCATAATCTTTGGATCATTGGAGCCACCACGAGGGTCAGGTCACCAGCTGCCTAACTTTGAAAGCTTCTCACTCCTCCCGAAAACTAATGGCATTAATTTGCGAGGGAAGACCGACGTTTTCAATGCTAAAACCAGCCAGTTCTCCGAACTCTCGCACCTCCTCTGGCGCTCTTTTGTCATCATCACAGCAGACAATTGCTGCGAAAATAATTAAAAGTGATGAGAAAAATGGAATCGCGATGGACCACTCACTTCAATTTCCGGACCGCCGACCCATCTAACCGCAGGCAAATTATTCTGCAGCAGGAGGTGGTTGGCCTCGTCGTCGAAGCCCCATTGACAAATAGCCAGCGTCGTACCGGCATCTTTCACCTGCTTCACCATTTCCGTGAACTTCTCGCGCTCGTAATCGCGCAAAGCTCTGTAATCGTCCACCGACGTGACGTCCAACTTGTGCTTCGTTTTGGGTTTCGGTGGTTCAAACGGGCAAGTCAAGATGGCCAGTTTGACGTCTTCCAACCTCTGTAACATTACATCAAATATGCAACCTGTTCATCGCAATGCAAAAATCCAACCGTGCGAGGCACTCTCCGAACTTTACCTTCGGCATTTGAGGATGACTGAAGTCCTTGTCGACGACGACACCGCGTACCAAGACAGTATCCTCCAATCTACCACCAACCTTCCCTTCTATCTTGATCAGTTCAAAATTAACGTCGCGAGTAACAGGATCCATAACTGCCAGTACAGCTTGCACGGCTATCTCCGCCATCTGCCTATGATGCTTGTTAATGCTGTAAAAAAAAACAATACGTGAGTATCAAAGGAATTCCAAGAACAGCGAATTCGAGGGCAACAAAACTATTCAATTACATTTTTGAACCTAACGAGGTCATAGCTATGTCGATGTAGGGCTCCAAATTCTCCAGGGTTCCCTTGAACTCGTCCGTTATCGTCTTGAGATGCTCGGTCGCACACCTGGCCGCCAATTCGAAACCGTCGGCGATTCTGATCGGATGAATCCCCTTGTCCAGCAGCTGCTCGGCCTGTTCCAGAAACGCGCCGGCGAGCACGACTACTCCGGTAGTGCCGTCGCCTATCTCGTCGTCCTGAGCGTTCGACAACTGGACCATCAGCTTGGCAATTTCATGGTCGACGTCCATATTCTTCAAGATCGTCGCGCCGTCGTTGGTCACGGTGACGTCCCCGTCCGAGCTCACCATCAACTTATCCAGCCCCTTGGGCCCCAGAGATGTTCTAAGGATGTTGGCCACATTGCGCGCCGCCAGTATATGCGACTGTAATCAGAGTATTTAAATCTTTTCCATGTTTCTCCACCGCAAATTCCTGCGTACGTGTCGCCTTCTCGTTTAATACATTGACAAACTTTTACGAAATAACGTCGTTTAAATTGAAAGCTGCACATTTCAGGTTTAAAATCCAAACGAAAATTGCGCCGTTCACGTCTTTGCCACAAATATTACCACATGCCTCAGTGGTCGAATTAGTGAGACGCCCGCCTAGAGTGTAGGGAGGTCCAGGCATAGTGTAACTAGTAGGTCCACTCTCTGCTGGCTCCTATCACGTGTGTGTGCATACGTACTCATCAAAGACACACTACCGCACATACTTTTCCTCTCGTTAGTCTGCCCAGAGCAATGCGCAGAAGGAATCGACGCAAAACAAAGCAAATGACGGAGTGGACCTACCAGTTATACTACGGTCCAGGTTCAAACCCTGGCCAAGGTAATACTTTTGGCAATAAATTTCTTTGATTAGACTTGCCAGTCGCGTCGAATATTAATTTCCTACATTGGTCAATTATTTACTGGGTAATCCTTCGGTACGGCTCCAGCACCTCAAAATTCACTGAAATTGGTCTCAATAAGTCTCGATTCTCGTTAAAATAAAAATCTAAAAAAAATATATATATACATATAAATGTAAAACACCCGGTTTACAACTTTGCTTCTCTTTCGCAACACCCGCGGGCAAAGAGCTACGGATCGCCTTATATGGTCACAAGGTATCCAAGGTCCCTCGGAGGGAGAGTCTAGGTTCGCGTCTAGTGAAGCTAAATCAATCGAGATCTGCGCCGGCCGTGATCGCGGGTCAGCGTCTCGAGAAAAGCGCCGCAGGAAACCGCCGCGTGCGTCCGGCCTGGGCATTTCGTTCTACGCTCGTCGCCGAGCCCCGAAACGCCGCCATTACCGCTCGCACGTGCCGTCTCGCCGAGAGCACGATCCGGCGAGTTCTCGGGGACGCGCCGGCGAGACGGGCGTCGGTGCGCGCGTCATCGTCCGCGCGGGAGAGCCTCGCGGAAGGGCTCGCCGGAAGCGAGGCGGGAAAGCGACGCGGGCGGGCGCGAAATCCGCCGTCGCTCGTACCTTGATTGCCTCGTGGCCGGTGAGGCGTTGCTGCTTCTCCTGGTTGCGGAGTATGATGCAGGGCTGGCCGTAGGGGTCGAACCACACCGTGCCGGGTATAGCGGTCATCTTGGCGACCTGGCGGGATCCAAAGCGGACTCGCCGACTGCCTGACGAGACGGTTGATGCCGTTCAACGGTCGCCGACGATTCGCACGCGCCGGAGTAACCGCTACTTGCGGACCTGACGACGCGACCGGAAGAACAACGTCGCGAACAGAGGAGCCAACCTCGCGCATGCGTAGCGCGCGCCCCCTCGTCAGTCGCGCATACGTCGTTCTGCCGCGGCGAAGGATGTCCATGGGACTCTCTTCGCGTGGAAACGGAATAGGAAATAGAGAGTGGAATTGAGTATGGAAGGTAAATGGTTCTTTGGAGGGAAGAGAGGATTACGCAGCGTTGATCTGTATAATCGTCTATCATTGCTGAATGCTTCTCGTAATGAAATTTTGACTGGCTTGACGAAGGGAAGCGATTAGGGTAAAAGTTACTTGACAAACAACGCAACCCAGCGAGCAATGTCTCGTCGATCGATGTCGAAACGATGTCAGATCGACGTCGACACCGTCAAATTGATGTCGAATCCACATCAATTTATCAATGCCGATGTCGATTCGACATCGTTTCGACGAATCATTTCTCACCGGGAAACGCGCGCGTTAAAATATAAAATCTCTCGGCTGCAATAACCTTTGCATAATTGCGATCAGTTTCTTTACTGCACGCGTACACTAATGCTACACATTTAATAACTTATTTTACAACATTGTTAACGTACTGGCTTAACGTAACATTATTAACATAACATTATTAACTGTTGCAGCCTGTCGCGGGTTCAAGGAACACAATTCACGCACGCGCATCAAAGTCCCATTCGAAGTTTCTCCAGTGAAGAAAGATGATGCTACATTTGTCGTACGACAAACTTTTTAAGCGTGTTGATTGACTACAAATTGGAACATTTCTGGAGAGTCGGGGGCTTCTCTATCCTGCGGTCAATCGACGACAAAGGTAACGTTACCCTGAGAGTATCGCATTGGCGGTGTCCATCATTTTTGACAGTCGGTAAAACACGGCCTCGAGTTCTCTACCTTAGCGGCTCACCCGTCGATATTCTTTAGAAAAGAAATTGTTTCACGGCGAAACAGCAAATCTGAAATCTTCATAGAAAGAAAAGGGTATCAGAATAACTGATAGAACAAAATCATATCTTCCATCTATAAATTTCTAAAGTAAATATCCAACCGTTCTGAAGTTTATTTATTTTATTGTTTTGCTGCCATTTTTAACAGATTCGAATTTTTCTGCGAATCTTCTCCCAAAAATAGAGAACAGATTTTCTTAAGTAACAATACTCTGGGGGAAAAAAGGCAGTTACAACCCATTTTAGGACCCACCCATTAGTAATCGAATTATTTGGATTGTTCACATTTTTTGTCGCAGTTAAGCAACTTAACATTTCGCTTAGTGCCTGAAAATTACCTTTGCGCTATTGAATGTCAACAGAACTAATTGAGAGAATCGATTAGTGTTACTTAAAAATCTTGGATATAAATAGAATAGCTAATTGCGATTTTTAGTTACGCGGGGTGAAATTCGTAAAAGATTAGAATTACGGACAATCCAAACAATTTGGCCCCGAAATGGGTTGCTGTCTTGTTTTCCCAGAGCAGTTGAAAAAAACCTCTCGCTAAAATCCTTCGCGGCAGCGGCAGCTTTTCAAGCGGCCTCCCTCGCTCGGCGACGTCGATTAATTACGCTGTCGTGATCTCGCGGGGGAAATGGATTCTCGTTCCATTCCATCTACATCGTGCGATAATGGCAAGCGGCGGTCGGGGAGAATCGAGCGAGTGGTCGACTCGTCGACTACCAACGGCCGGGATAGTATAAACTTTGACACCGCGGGGCATTACCGCGATAATTAAACGAACTACCGGTCGAAGGGAGAGGAGGAGGAACGGAAGAAGAAGGGGGGGGGACAGGGGGCGGGGAAACTGCGGAAACTGCGAGAATGCAGGGGTGTGCTCGCTCGCGCGTTGAAATATACATCTCGCGCCGCACCCGCTCGGAGAACTTTCCACTAAAAGGCCCCGGTAACGCGCGGGTTACGGCTTCAATATGCAGTAAACCTAGGATAGCCCTCGTCGCATGCCCCGCGCTCACCTCTAAATCGCCCTCCCCACGCCCTCCCGATCCCCGTTGCGTAATACATCCCGGGCGTGTTCGCGCTCGCGATACAAAAGGTACGCCGCTGAATAGAGAAATAATGCGCGTAAATCCGCGAGAAGAACGTCGTGCGAGTAAAGAGACCGACGTGTCGAGATCGTATCCGATAAAGAAATGCCTCTCTTTCCCCTGATTTTTATCAAACACAAGTGGAACAAACTTCGTTCGATCTGCTAAACCGAAGGGTAAACCGCCGAGGGCACTGCACAGATTTCAGATATTATTTTTTTCTCTGTTTCGCTGCACGTTTCCCCTTGTATCTTTACACCCTGCGCGCTCCTTCTCCCCCGCCGTCCCTCTTTCTTCCCCGGAATTTCGCGTTCGAGATTCTCCAATCGAGAAGCTGCCGGAAGCTTTCAAGTGATTGGAATTGGCTTCAAACAAGGGACAAAACGGGAAAAGTGTATGATTTTGAAAAATATACGTCCGTTTTCCCAAGCCCAAGTTTTTTAAATGCAAGAACCGACTTTTTGTGGCAATTATGCGATAATTATGCGAGAATCGCATTACGCTGCGCGGAGGGTCTTATTATGCGTTAGGCGATTGAAATCTGTCAATGTTAAGTGTGTACTATGCATAACTATCAAAATTAGAGCTTAAGAACAATTTTTGCTTAAAGTATAAAGTGCCTATCCCTAGTAATGCCCACTGGGCATTAGTCAGCATCGGTGTATGTACATGACTTTACCCCTCGGTTGAAACGGAGAGCGATAATTTTTTGCTCCCTTTTCGAGCACTCCTTGATCCTTAATCGCTAAGGGACGCTGATTCTCTTCCTGTGAAATAACGCGAATCGATAGACGGAGACTTCGCGCGACTCCCATCGTAATCTTCAACGACCGTCTTTGAAATACACTGACTTCGCTTCTTGAACGCGAAAACGGGAGTCTACCGGCGCGAAACGTGCTCGAATTCCCGGTAATGGTGATGAGTAACGCGTACCGCGAGGACGATTCGAAGAAGTGACGTGACTGCGGGAATCAAATGTTCCGTCGTGCACGTGCGTTTCTCCCGCGCGAGGCAATCGCGAGGAAAGAGCGGCTCGGCTTCTTGGAAGTAATTTCACCGCTGGAAAAGTATAATTGCCGCTTGGGCAAACCGTTGTCGGAAACCCGGCAGGCGAGTGAACATTGTTCGATGAGCAAAGTCCGTAGATCACACGCGTCCTGTCGCGGCTGATCAAACAAAGACCTCATTTGCGGCAGGTGCCCCCGAACGTTTTTCTGGAAAATACGGAAGAATCTTGCGCTTTATTACGCAAGTCTAAGTTTGATTTTACGCGTGGAAAAAGAGGGAAGTATTTATTGACGATCACTTATCGAAATCTTCCGACAAACAATGCGGAAAGGAAGAATCGCGGAGAACGGCGTTTGTTTACTCATTAGTTTATGAAGTCATACTCTTTGCGGAACGTTGCTGAAGTATAATTACTCGTGATGTAATCCTACACGTCGTTATAAAATTGTGTACAGACGCAGCGTCAGACAGAGCGCGTGTGATTTAATTATCACAAAATCGTGCAGAGTTCTGCTACATTCTCTCCATTTCTCGACGGAGTTCACAACGTGCCGAGAGATGGCGAAGTAATGCTGAAAGCTGCTGGACATATCAGAATTATTTATTCAGCCTTCAGTCATTCTCTATCCTGACATAAATATAATAAAGGAAATAACATCAAAAATTATTTGACGCCAGTAAAATGACTAACAGTGATTGAGGTAATATTTTTCGCAATAAATTGCCTGTGTTAAAAACACATCGCCAGTTATGGTTTATTAGAAGCTTAAGGGGATCCTAAAGCCGTCTGTTTTATCGACATTCTTTGTTAGAAGTAATCTTTTAATTGGCTTTATAGAAATGCGAAACTCTTTTACGAAATTAAAGTACGCAGCAAAATCTAGATTATGATGGTCGACTTTATATCAAAAACGAAAAGAAATTAAAAATTTTACTAATTTTTGGTACACTCGACGACAATATTTGCTTGATGCGAGAATTTTACAATAAATATATACAAAATGAGACCAGCATACTCCAGAGACAATATATAAGAACAATATCGTGCAATTAGAACTAAGATTAATGGCCTGGAAAAAAAGATTACTTCTAATAAACGTAAGTCCAGAAATCCACGTCTAGAAGAAGCGAAAAAGAGCAGTATGGCGTGTAGAAATATAATATAAATTATAGCTCGGCAAACGTATTTCCGTTCTTCTAACGACTCGCGAGAAGTCGCGAGATTATACGGAAAAGCGGGGAAATCGCGAACGGTAAATAGATAGAGGATAGATAGCGAGCATGTCGAATGCGATAACGGTCTGAAATCGGGGTGATCGCGGCGCGAAGGGGTTGTGAGTTACTCGCATAATCTCGCGCGTCAGAGATAGCTGATAAGCGTTAAGTAATAATAGATATTTCATCCAGAGTGCACGCAGCCGATACGGGAAGTCCGATAATCAATAAACGATAAACGGCGGCGCCGTTTTAAGGACCGGCGATGCGCCGGGCGAGCCCGTGATTCATTCGGAGGAATCACATGGCAATTGCGCACCTGATTAGATTCTCAGATATCTTTGCCGATATTCCAAGAGACAAGGGAGACCGATGAAAACGGTCCGATAAGCGAAAGCACCGGCGATTGTTTTCTTGGAACAAAACGCGTGAACACTCGAAAAATATCTCCTGCAATAATAAGCTTCTGCAAAACGCGACAAGATCTGTTTGTTCGCTGAAACTCAAGCGGATTTTTATCTCGCCGCGCCTTTAACTCGAGATTAAATTGCCAAAGAGTATTTAAGAACAAGATCGGCCCCGTGTTTTTCGCCTTCGACTTTGGTCACCAAGTAAGAACCAAACGAAAGGTCTCGTCAGTATAATCGCGATATGTCAGTCTCAGAGTGTACCTATTTAACGTTCCAGAGATATCGAGCTCCAAAAATTCCCAACAAAGCGATGAAGCCGTCTGGACAGACACCAACCATTCCTTTCGAATGGAT